AGGCGCTGTGTCTCTGCCGGGGGTGTTGGTGGTAGAGGAGGGTGCAGAAAAGGTGCCGGCAGCAGCAGCAGCTGCTGCAGCTGCAGCAGCAGCAGCAGCAGCAGCGTCCTCAGCAGCAACAGCAGCAGCAAGCGTTGCTGCTGCTGCTGCACTGGGAGCCCTCAAACTGCCCTGCTGCGCTGTAGCAGCAGCAGCAACACTTCCGTCAAGCAGCTTAGCCGCATCAAAGGGCGCAACTTCACGAATTACTCCAGCCTGAAGCAAACCCTAAACCCTAAACCCTAAACCCTAAACCCTATACCCTAAACCCTAAACCCTTGGGTCTTGAAATGTGCTTTCTTCAGCCTAAGCCTCACGTCTGCCCCAGCTACGCACTCCGCGACTCTTGGAAGGCGCTAGGTAAACCCTAAACCCTAAACCCTAAACCCTAAACCCTAATTTGGGCTTGCCTGGGTGAGATCTGGAAGGAAGTTTTGCTGCGGGCCTAAGAGTGCAGCAGTGCATTTGCAGCATTTATGAGATTTTGATTTTTGTTTAATTTTTTTCTTTTTCTTTTTGCTTCTGGTTTTGATGCCATCTAGCTGCAGCAGCAGCTGCTGCAGCTGCTGCTGCAGCGCGACGTCCGCTGCTGCTGCTGCTGCTGCTGCAACGGGCGGCAGCAGCTTCGCCCGCAGCGCGGCGCAAAGCCGCTCCCTATTGCTGCTGATGCTGCTGCTGCTGCTGAACGATTGTGCTGCTGCTGCTGCTGCTGCTGCTGTTGCCGCCGCTAGATCTGCCGCTGCAGCAGCAGCAGCAGCAGTCCCATCAGCAGCAGAGCCCCCGCTGGCAGCAACTTTTCTTGCTGCTGCTGCTGCTGCCTTTGCGGTAGCCATTAAGGCGTTGTCTGCAGACTCCATGCTGCTGCCTTCACCTGCTGCTGCTTCTGCTGCTGCTGCTGCTGCTGCTGCTGCTGCTGCTGAAGCACCTCCAAGCGGGTCCTCAGCAGCAACTGCCTGCAGCGGCAGTATCAGGCGCCGCAGCTCATCTCCAAATTCTTCGTTGCTGCTGCTGCTGCTGTTGCTGCTGCTGTCGCTCCTGCTGCTGCCTTGCTTCTCCAGCTTGCTGCCGCTGCGGCCCTTCTTGCTGTTGTTCTCAGCTTCCCGTTTTGCTGCAGCAGGAGCAGCCGCAGCAATAGCAGCAGCAGCACCATCAGCAGCAGCAGCAATGGCTGCAGTTGCAGCAACAGCAGTAGCAGCGGCAGTGTTAGTAGCAGCAGCAACAGCAGCAATAAATGCTGCAACAGCAGCAAAATAAGGCAGCATCCAGGAGAAACGCAGCAGTATCAGCAGCAGCAGCAGCACCAGCAGCAGCATAAGCGTCAAAGCGAATATGCTCGTCCACGAAACCGCCAGGCCCCAAACCGTAAACCCTAAACCCTAAACCCTAAACCCTAACCTTTGGCCTTTTCTTTTTGCTTTTGCTTGCCCGGGAGCTCCAGCTTCAACTGCCTTCCAGCAGGGACCTCAGGAAGCCCTGCTCACCCTCAAACCCTAAACCCTAAATCCTAAACCCTAAACCCTAAACCCTAAACCCTAGCCCTTATCCCTGACGGGTTGGCCCTCATATGGAGGGGTATCGCCGACGCTTTCTCAGACCCTAGCCCTAACACCTCCCCATTCACGGTTTAGGGTTTAGGGTTTAGAGTTTAGGGTTTAGGGTTTAGGGTTTAGGGTTTAGGGTTTAGGGTTTAGGGTTTAGGGTTTACCGCTGAAGTCTCTGTCTCTGAAGTCTAGGGTTTGAGGAAGAGCCCCCACTTGCCGCCTGAAGTTCAGCATCCACTCTATGCCTTCGTCTATTAGCAGTTCCTGCAGCAGCACGAGGGTTTACTCTTTAGGGTTTAGGGTTTAGGGTTTAGGGTTTAGGGTTTAGGGTTTGGGGTTGAGGCTTAGGGGTCAGGGTTTAGGGTTGGGCGTTCAGGCTAGGGTTTAGGGTTTACGGTTTAGGGTTTTGGCGTGTAGGGCCTGAGGGTGTACAAATTCGGGTTTAGGGTTTCGGTGGTTTAGGATTTGAGGTTTGTGGTCTAGGGTCTAGGGTCTGGGGTTTAGGGTTTAGGGTTTAGGGTCTAGGGTTTAGGGTTTAGAGTTTACGGTGAGCTTCTCCTTGTAGGGCCCGTGGAGCTCTTCATAGACTTCTTCCTTTAGCTGCTGGTACTCAGCATCTGCTGCTGCTTGCTGCTGCTGCAGCTGCTGCTTCTGCTGCTGGACTTGCTGCTGCAGCAGCAGCAGCTGCTCCTGCTCCTCCGGGCTGTTGTCGCTGTCTAGGCCCAGCTGCTGCAGCAGCTGCTGCTGCTGCAGGTGCTGCTGCTGCCGCGCTGCTGCGCCTCTCCAAAAGGCAGCAATCTTTGTTGCTGCTGCTTCTAGCTTTGAAGTCTCTTCTGCTCAGCCACAAGTGCCTCTAGGCGTTAGGGTTTAGGGTTTAGGGTTTAGGGTCTAGGGTCTAGGGTTTAGGGTTTAGGGTTTGGGGTATAGGGTTCCAGCACTATTACTATCAGTTTACGGAGTGCTGCTGCTGCAGGTGGTGCCGCTGCAGCTGCTGCAGCAGCAGCTGCTACTGCTGCAGCAGCTGCTGCTACTGCTGCAGCAGCTGCTGCTGCTGCTTTCAACTGCAGGTAGCTAGCTTCAGCGTGTTAGCTAGCTACCGGCTAGCTAGCTACTAGCTAGCAGCTAGTTAGCGTGCTTAAGCTAGCTAGCCAGCTATCCATCTAGCTAGCTGGCTAGCTAGCTAGCCAGCCAGCCAGATACTTAGCTAGCTAGCCATCTACTACTAGTTAGTTAGTTAGATGGTTAGTCATCTATCTAGCTAGCTAGCTAGCTAGTTAAATGTCTAGCTAGCTAGCTAGCTATCTAGGGGGCTTTTTGGTACCTGGTGAGTATTCAAATGTTTCTGGAGCTGCTTCTTGTTCTGGGGCTTCACCAGAGTCAGCAGCAGCAGCAGCAGGAGCCGCTGCTGCTGCAGCCCCTGCTGCAGTGGTTGCTGCTGCTCCTGTTTCGCTTGTTGCTGCTGCTGCACTTGCTGCTGCAGCCGCTGCCGAACCATTTCCAGTGCTCGGAGGGCCAGGCGCTGCCTCTTGCTGCTGCTGTTGCTGCTGCTCCTGCTGCTTGGCTGCTACTTGCTGCAGGGCAGCAGAAGGTAAAGGATCTGGGGTTGCAGGATGGGACTCTGCAGCAGCAGCAGCAGCCGCAGCAGCAAGGCTTGATGCTAACCTTCTCAGTATGGTAGAAGGAGCGGCGTTTAGCAGCAGCAGCAGCAGCAGCAGCAGAAGTAGCGGCGGCCGAATTCGCCCCGGCTAAAGCTCCGTCAGGAGCACTGTTAGGAGCAGCAGCGAGACTAGCAGCAGCAGCAGCAGCAGCCGGATTAGCAGCAGCAGCAGCAGCAGCAGTGAGGCCAGCAGCAGGAGCAGCAGCAGGTCTGCTAGTGCACACATTTATGTGCCCCATACCGCGCTCTAAGTTGCTATGCTGCAGCGCCTCGCTGCTGCTGCTGCTGCTGCTTTGGAGCTTGAAAGGCAGCATAAGAGCAGCAGCAGCAGCACCTTGCGGCAAGAACTGCACACCGTTGTTAGCAGCAACTAGCTGCTTGCGGAGAAGCAGCGCTCTTTGCTGCAGCAGCAGCAGCAGCTCAGAAATGCATTCTCTAAAGAAAGGACACACAGCGGCAGCATGAAGTTGTCCTAGAGAGCCTGCTGCTTGGCAGAGCTGTACGTACACCCCAATTTGCTGCTGGTACTGTTGCTGCGCAGCAGCAGCAGCAGCAGCGGCGGCTTTCTCTGCAGCAGCAGCCGCCGCAGCAGCGGACTGTCTCCCTTGGGTGGGCGGGGACCATTTCTTCTTGGCAACAGCAGCAGCAGCAGCAGCTGCTGCTGCTGCTTCTGCTGCTGCTTTCGCCTTCTCTCGCTCCTCGTGCTGCTGCAGCCGCTCCAGCTGCGTCAGCGCCCGCTGCAGCAGCGAGAAGCTGCTGTGGGGCAGCGCCATCTACAGGCACATCTCAGGTGCCCATACAGCAGCAGCAGCAGCAGCAACGGCAGCAGCAGCAGCACCAGCGAGGCTGCAGCAGCAGCAGCAGCAGCAGCAGTGCTTGTGAGCGTCTCGGAATCGGGTTCTGGGTAGCGGCGAGAATTACTTTTTATATTTAAAATAATTCAAATAAATAAATTAATAAATTAAATTATTTTATTAGTTAAAAATGATCGAAAGTAAAACTTCAACGCAGCAAATACTCGGGAGCCCCGGTGAGCCCCGGAAGCCGCGGCTGCTCGCTCTCAGTTCGTGGAATTTAGCGCTGAATTGAATGAAATGATTCATTTAAATTGAAATTAAACATTTATTTTGCAAATAAAAATAAAATTTGCGTTGAAATTAAACAAAAAGAGGAAAAAACGCAAATGAAGCTCGGGGGCCCCGCCAGAGTCTCGGGTGTACAGACAGCTCCGTTGTGCTTGGGGCTTCAGCACCACCAAAGTGAATTTCTTTCATTCATTTATTAAATAAATTCATTTGAATGTTTAATTGTTTAATTTAATTCATTTAATTAATTCATTTCATCAAGTTAAAGTCCATTTTGAAGATGATGCAATTCGGTGCCGCTGCGGCGTACGTACACCTCAACTGCGCCTTTTCGCAGATTTACTTCAAATGCCAAAATGCCATTTTTATTTTTTATTTCTTTTGCACGTTTTGTTTATAAAACAATTTAGACGTTTCGGCACTTAAATAAAAATGCGTACTTCTTGTCTATCTACAAAATGCATGCAAAAACCCCGCAAATATATCTCTATGTTATTATTTATATTATAACTATCAATATTAATATTATATATATTGTTTGTATATATATTATTATTGTACATATTATGACTATACGTATTATTATTATATATATTGTTATTATATATATTATTATTTTGTATATTACTATTATATATTATTATTATTATTAATATATTTCTACTATATATTATTATATTTATTATATTTTACATTATTATATATTTTTTGTTATAAATAAACATGCTATAGACATATAAATAATATGCATTTTGTGGAAGAGTATTATTTAAACTGTTTTACGCTCTTTCCAAAATAACGTTATTACATACATTTTTACATTATATTTTATATTATTTATATAATATATATATCTATTTATCTTAAAATATCTTATTATGATTGCTTATACATTAGATAATATCATTCCAATATTAATATTCATATTAATGAACTTTCCGGTTTGAATTGAATCTATTTGGTTTAAAGGGCGCATTTAGAATAAATAGAAAGAAAAGAAATAGACTCTTACTTTTGTCAAAGTCCAAAAGGAAGAAAATGAATTTTATTTGTTTCTGGTTGCGTAGACACTTGAAGCGAGACGTTCAGGTGTACGTACACCTGGAAAGTGGCATTTTTTCCTTCTTCCAGGTGTACGTACACCTGGAAAGTGGCATTTTTTCCTTCTTCCAGGTGTACGTACACCTGGAAAGTGGCATTTTTTCCTTCTTCCTTTTGGGTCATTTGAAAGGCAAAAAGATCTTTTTAACTCTCTCAATTTGATTTAAAACTCCAGAATGCCCTTTAATGTATTTAAACTGGTTTATTTGTTTTATTTTTCTCTTTAAAACTCCCAAAATGCCTTTCCCCAAAACACAGACAGCCCCGGCACACTCCAAACTGCTGCACTTTGCAACGCGTTTGATGCATGCAGAACTATTTATAATTAAAAAATGAATTTAATTCAATCAGTTATAATTTATTGATGCAATTTAATGCATTCTATTCTTCATTTTATTCTTTTATTTTATCTTATTTTATTATCTTTTATTCTACTGTACTGAGGTGTACAGACACCTCGCGCTCGCCAGGACTTCACTCAGAAAGAAATAAAAACAAAAATAAAAACAAAAATAAAAACAAAAATAAACGCAAAAGCAAAAACAAATAATAAAAATGAATAATAATAAAACTAAGAGAAAACGATCTGGAAAAGTAAAAAATAATAGAGAGAAAAGACACAAATGCCTATTTGCTGCTAGACTGGTAGCGCATGCAGCAGAACGTCATTGCGAAGAACTAAAAATAAAGTAAATAATCAAAACAAAGTGAAATAAATAGTTAAAAACATCAAAAATGAAACAATCGTCCAAGATGTCTTGATAGATACAGCTGCAGCAGCAGCTCAAGTGCTGCAGCAGCAGCAGCTCGAGCGCTGCAGCAGCAGCAACTCAGTTGTCTTGCTGCGGTTCAGCTGTCTTTGCCGCTGATCTCGCTGCTGCAGCAGCAGCAGAAGAATCTCAAATGTCTCTGCTGCTGCCCCAGCAGCAGCTGACGTGTTCCTGCTGCTGCTGCTGCAGTTCAAGCGTCCCTGCTGCTGCAGCTGCAGCAGCTCAAGTGTATGCCTGCTGCTGCAGCAGCAGCAGCTCAAGTGTGTGCCTGCTGCTGCAGCAACAGCAGCTCAAGTGTGTGCCTGCTGCAGCAGCAACAGCAGCTCAGGTGTGTGCCTGCTGCAGCAGCAGCAGCAGCTCAAGTGTGTGCCTGCTGCTGCAGCAGCAGCCGCCGAGGTGCATGTCCGTGCTGCTGCTCGGTCCACGCCTCAAAAGTCGCTGCTGCTGCTGCACCAGCCGCAGCAAACCCGCCCCCGCTGCAGCAGCAGCAGCAGCAGCAGCAGCAGCAGCTCAGAGGCTGAGCAGCTCGCGCCACAAACTCCACTGCCTCGAGTGTCTGAACGCAGAGCCCCTGCGAGCAACAACTTCGAGAACAGCAGCAAAAAGGTCTGCAGTGGTTTTGAACTTTTCTTTGATTTGATCTAAAGTTTGCTGCATTCCCGACAAACTTTTGTCTCCAAAAGCCATGTACTGCAAAGGCCTTGCTGCTGCACTTGCTGCTATCCACTGCAGCACAGTCTTCAGCTGGTTGTCCCCCCCGAATATCACGCAGCCCCTGCGCCGAACCATAAACCCTAAACCCTAAACCCTAAACCCTAAACCCTAAACCCTCACACTAGCAGCCCCAGCCCGCTGCGCCGTTGGCGCCTCCCTGCCTCAGTGGCGCCCCTTGCTGCTGCTCTGCTGCTGCTGCTGCTGCTGCTGCTGCGCTGCTGCTGCAGCTGGCGAGGGTTTAGGGTTTAGGGTTTACCACTTTCCGGTGGCGACGGGCGCCTTGGGTTCTCCGAGGAGGGCCTCGAAGGGGTCTCCCTGAAACCCTAAAAGGGCCTTTAGGACTTCTCTTTTCATTTTGTTTTCCTGATACTGCGAATTAGGGTTTCGAACTATCAAAGCATCTATTGCTGCTACTGTTGCTGCTCGCCGCCCCAAACCATCCAAAGGACACAAACCATGCAAACTCCAGTGGCACCCCTCAGGCACTTCTGCTGCTCGCAGCTCAAACGTCCTCTCGTACCCTGCAGCAGCAGCAGCAGCAGCAGCAGCAGCAGCAGCAGCAGCAGCAGCAGCGGCGGGAGATGTGGGGTGGTTGTAGCGGAGGAAGCGGCAGGAGCAGCAGCAGCGGCGGGGTAGTAGTAGGAGTAGTAGCAGCAGCAGCAGCAGCAGCAGCAGCAGGAACACGAACAGCAGCAGCAGCAGCAGCAGGAAGGGTTTAGGGTTTAGGGGAAAAGAGAATTGAATAAAGCAAACAAAATAAAGCAAATAAACAAAACTATCAAAATAAATAAAATAATAAAACAAATAAGTAAAATAGATGAAATAAATAAAATGAAATAAACAAGTAAATAAAAATGAAGTAGGTGAACAAACAACCAACCAAATAAAGCTAAATAAATAAAATAATTCAATGAATAAAACAAATAAAATAAACGAATAAAATAAAAAACATAAAAAATAAATAAATAATAATAAATAATAAATGTTTACCTCTGTAGAGAGTAAAGGACTCTGCGCCTTTAACAACAACAGCTTCGTCAGCTTTTAAAGCTTGTGTAAAAAGCATTACAACAATTAATTCGGGTTTTAAAGTGAAAATCAATTCTTCCTGAGCTAAATGATCTGCATGCATTGTCAATCCTCCAAGAAACCTGTCCGCAAAGTCCACCTGCAGCAGCAGCAGCAGCAGCAGCAGCAGCAGCACCAGCGGTGGGGGGAGGCCGGTTTGCAGCAAAAACGAAGTTTCCAGACCGGAAATACGAGAAGCAACAGCAGCAGCAGCAGCACGACGACAGCAGCAGCAAGAGATCAGCAGCAGCAGCAACAGAGCAGCAGCAGCAGCACGTTAACACAAGCTGCTTCTCCCTCAGAAAAGAACTAAAAGTAAAAGCTGCAATGCATGCAGCTGCCTATACACCCGAACTAGCTGCCTATACACCTGACCTAGCTGCCTATACACCCGAAAAGGTACCTATACACTTGAAACACCTGCCTATACACCCGAACAAGGTGCCTATACACCTGAAAAGATGCCTGTACACGTGAGAGTGGCTGTACACCCAGAACACCTGCCTATACACCTGAAAGGTGCCTATACACCCGGAGGACCTGCCTGTACACCTGAAGCACCTGCCTATACGCCCGGAGCACCTGCCTATACACCTGAAGGACCTGCCTATACACCTCAAGCACCTGCCTATACACCTGAAAAGGTGCCTATACACCTGAAGGACCTGCCTATACACCTGAAGCATCTGCCTACACCTGAGAGGTGGCTGTACACCCGGAGCTGCGCGCACCTGGACGGCGCCGTCGGCCTTGGTGATGTCGCCATTTAAATGAACTTGAATTGGAAGTAAAGGAAGTTTGTCTTGGAGAACATTTTCGAGTTTTATTTCGGGACGAACAACTTCGAATCCTTCGGGAGAAGTGAAGACAGTTTCTTCCGGAACTTGGAAGTAAAAACTGACAACTTCGTCTGCAGCAGCCACGTGTCTTTTCGTCCCCAGAAAGGTCACTTCTGTGCACCTGCAGCCGCTGCTGCTGCTGCTGCTGCTGCTGCTGCTGCAGCGCAGCGGCCCCACGTCGCCCCGCTGCAGCATCTGCTGCCAGCAACTCCCCACAGTTTGGTGCATCTGCTGGAAGTACTGCAGCAAAGACTGGTACTTGGGGGGCCTTTCGAAGAAGCCTCTGTAGTGCATGTCGGGGGCGTTCATCTGCAGCGGCTGCTGCTGCTGCTGCTGCTGCTGCAGCTGCTGCTGCAGCAGCAGCCGCTGCCGCGGGTATACTATGCCGAAGAATAAAGCAGCAAGTAAAGCCAAGACTTCTATTCGCCGCAAATGCACTGCCGGGTTGTCCCGCCCCAAATGACGAATGCCCTGCAGGCCCACAACGCATGCGTGGCTAGCTAGCTAGCTAGCTAGCTAGCTGGCTAGCTGGCTAGCTGGCTAGCTAGCTGGGCAGTCAGCTACATGAGAAGAAACTGCCAACTGGATGCTCAGGTGGGAGCTCCGCTAGCTAGCTGGATAGCTAGCCAAGCACTGGCTAGCTAGCTAGCTAGCTAGCTAGCTAGCTAGCTAGCTAGCTAGCTAGCTAGCCAACTAACTACCGCGCTAGGCAGCTCCTAAACCAGCTGGCTCCCTGGCTAGCTAGCTCCCTATCCACCTAGCCACCTGGCTAGCCAGCCAGTTATCCAGGCAGCTAGCTAGCTAGCGAGCCACCTAGCTAGCCAGCTAGCCAGCCAGCTAGGCAGCTGGCCACGTAGCCACCTAGCTAGCTAGCTGGCCACCTTACTAGCCACTAGCTAGCCAGCTAGCCAGCCAGCTAGCTAGCCAGCCTCTAGCTAGCTAGCCAGCTAGCCAGCTAGCTAGCTAGCTAGCTAGCTAGCTGGCTAGCCACTCACACTGGGGAAGAAGTCTGGGAGTCTGCGGGCGAGGGAAGCCAAAAAGGGCAAAAGAGATTTCGACAGATTTTTGTGGGTGGCCAAGTGGTGGGTGAGGGGGCCTATGCGCAGGGGCTTGTCCACGCGCCAGTTTCCTGAAAACAAATAAATAAATAAATAAATAAATAAATAAATAGTTTAATTAATTTAATTAATTAATTTAAATTGATTGGCTGGTTGGCTTCGGCTCCAGCTCTTTAACTGGCGCGAGCAGCGCCGAGAACCGCCGAAATTGGAGCGGTGGAAGCAGCAGCGCTGCTGCTGCTGCTGCTGCTGCTGCTGCTGCTGCTGCTGCTTGGGGGGGCAGCAGCTGGAGTTGGAAGTACCAGCAGCAGTTAAGATGGAAGTGAAGAGCTGTTTGTACTCCCCAGCTGTCTTGGGAACTTTTCCTGCTTCCACTTCCGCCAAGATTTGCTGCACTTGCTGCCAGCCTTGGGGGTTTTGCGGCAGCAGAATGGCCCGGAGGCCCTGCTGCTGCTGCGCTGCTGCTGCTGCTGCTGCTGCTGCTGCTGCTGCTGCGGATGTCCCCGCGACGGCGCCGTCGTCGTCGCCCGGGGGCGCTGCAGCGGCGAAGCCGGGGGGCGAGACGAAAAGCAGCAGCAGCAGCGCTGCAGCAACTGCAGCAGCAGCAGCAGCAGACCGCCTGCGGCCTTGCCCCATTCTCTCAAGAACTTCGACAATAAATTCAAAAATGTTATTTAGCAGCAGCAAAAATAAACAAACACGAAAAAAATC